AGGCCACTGTCTCCAAGGGGACTGATGGTGTTAAGGTGGCGATAAGAAGGCAAGACCATATGGAGAGTCCTGGTGAGGTGGCATGCTTATCTCCAGTCCCTACGGCCACTGGGTGGGGGCCCCTGTTAACTACCCAAGGGAACGTCACAACAGAGGCTGTGCAAAGACACCTGGCTGAGCCAGAGGGGCCTGCCCTGAGAGGAGCCCCCCCAGAAAAACGTTCACCTCCTTCCAACCAAAGGGACCTTCCTGACTGTCCCGCAGTGACCAGATGTCAAGGGGACTGAGTGCTACAGGCCTCACTCGCCTGCTCTCCACCTCGGGTGGTCTGTGAGGGCCACCCTGCAAACACCCTGTTTCCAGGTGAGGGGCGGCTGGAGCGGCGGGGCTGGGCGGGGTCTGGACCTGGATCCCCCCAAGCCCCTGCCCAGCTCCTGTGGCTGTCAGAGGTGGCACCTCGAGGTCCAGCCCTGTCCGTGATCAGGAGCCACAGCCCACGAAGCCACTGCCCCTTGAAGGCTGTGACCACAGCACATTCTGCTCCGAGCAGACGTGGGGCTCATTTCCCACAGTGATGGGGATCGAGACGGAGAACGATGTCTTCTAGGAAGGTAACTGGCCTCGCTAGAGCGTAAGAGACAAAGGAAATGTCTTCCCCAGGAGACGCCTGGACAGGCCTGGGAGGCGGGAAGGAAGGCTCCGCTGCAGGCAGGAGGGGCAAAGCGAGCCTCTCCTGGAGTTGGGGGCCACAGTCAGGAAGAGCCTTAAAGCCATGACCTAAAGGACACAGAGACACAGAAAGAACCGCTCCTTCATGGGGGCGACTGCAGGTGCAAAGGCCCTGAGGCAGATCCAGGAACAGATGTAGCCTTGAGAAAACAGAGAGACTGCCAGTGGGACTGGACAGCTGTACAGAGAGTGCAGAGGGGGGTGCAATGAAGATGCGGACAGGGGTCACAATGGGGAGGCGTGTGAGCCGAACCAGAAAGCTCACATGTGACTTTAGGGAAGTTGTCGATGGTGTCTAAGGAGGTAGGTGGCACGGCCTCTGTGTGCTGGCTGAGAGCTTTGGTGGGAGGAGAACGGGGCACCCTGGTGTGGCTGCTGCTGCGGTCCTCCAGCAGGGGACGGTGGGGCTGCTCCAACCGGGTGGAGAGGGTGGGGGGAGAAGAAATGGCAGAATCTGCATGGTGGGTGCGCGGGGAATGGAATGGGGGGTCCAGGTGGCGGCAGGTGGGCCGTCGGGGATGAGGTCACACAGCTAACAGAGTTCCATCTGCACGATCCCAGAGTCCCCAGAGCCCGGGGCACTCAGGCCCTGTTCCATCCCCGCCTCCCGGGTGGTCTGTGGGCAAGATCAGAGCTTCCTTCCTCCACTGTCCCCAGGGAGGATGGACGG